ACGCCTCCTTACATTTACATTGTATTTACATTAATTCAAATTTAACATACTTCGAAATTTTTCAAATTTATCTTGGCCCAAGGACTTCGTAAAAATATCTGCAATATTATCATCAGAATCTACTTTAACCACATTTATAACATTTGCTTTAACATAATCATTTACATAATGATAATGAATTTCAACATGCTTAGAATTTTTTGTAAAATTGCCATAATTAGCTATACTAATTGTACCAGTGTTATCTTCATAAACATCAATTGGCTTTATTATTTCAATATCAAATATTTTCAACAATTCTTTTACAAATATCAATTCACTTACTGCTTCTGACAATGCTACATACTCTGCAAAAGTTGAAGCTTTTGTAACGCTTTTTTGTTTTCTAGATTTCCAATAAATTACATTACCAAACAATCTTATTACAAAACCAGTTGTAGACTTTCTATCTAAATGATCACCTGCCCAATCGGCATCCACATAACAATCAATAATACTTACTTTTTCATTTCTGTTATAAAACAATTTTAAATCTTTAGTTAAGCATAAATATTTCAAAATTCGTACAGCATATTTAAAGTGCGTTTCATTATAGCAATTTTGAAATCTACTCAGATAATTTACGCTGAAACTTATATCAGGCCTTGTTGCCGAACTTATGTATAATAGTGCACCAATTAAATTTTTATATTTAATATTTCTTTCACAATGATCAGATTTATCAATTTTTAAATTTACTTCCATAGGTGTATTATACAGTTTACCTTTTTCTAAATTATATTTTTTCCTTAATAATTCAATATATTTATTTTGATCCAATCTCATTTCATGTTTACTAGAATCATAATCAACAGTAATACCAAGATATTCTTTAATTTCACCAATATCTTTCATTTTAAATTTTTCTGATAATAAAATTTTAATCCTTTTAATTTCATTTAAATTTCTACCACAAATCAATAAATCATCGACATAAATTAATAAGTAAATAATATCATTTCCAATTTTATAAACGTACAAACAAGGATCAATATTACTTCTTTCAAAACCTAAATTTATCAAAAATGTATCTAGGCACTCATACCATGCCCTTGGACTTTCTTTTAAACCATATAAAGCTTTAACTAATTTACAAACTTTACTTGTTCCATCTTCATAACCCTTAGGTTGTTTAATATAAACTTCAGAAATTACTTTACCATTTAAAAAGGCTGTTTCAACATCCATTTGTTCAATTACTAGGCCCATTTGACAACAATATGACAATAAAATCTTTAATGTTTGCATTTTAGCCACAGGTGAATAAATATCATCAATTTCATCAGTTTGTTGAAAACCTCGTACAACCAATCTAGCTTTATAAGTATTATCAGACTTTTTAGTATAAACCCATTTAACATCCAGAATATTTTTGTTTGTATCATTTTTAACCAATTTCCAAGTTTTACTTTTATTTAAACTATCAATTTCTTTGTCCATAGCTGTTTTCCAATACTTACTTTCATTAGAATTTATCGCCTCCTCAAATGTATGTGGTATATCAGTTCTACACATATTTACAAAAATACTACTATTATATACATAGTAGTCATCAAATTTCTTTGGAGGATTTTTGGCTCTGTGAGATCTAGGTAACTCAGGTTCATTTTTATTCACACTATCATCCATACTTTCATTTGTACTTTCAAAAGTTTCATCTATTGAGTCATTTTCAGAGCTTTCATCAATTTTATCAGGGTAACACTCTTCATTATTATCATTATCTGATTCGTTAAAGTCTAAACCTATACACTTAACGTTTTCTTCAACAATATCCACGTGTCTAGCAACAATGACTCTGCCATTTAATAATACACGATAACCAACATTACTATAACCAATTAAAATTCCCATATCAGCTTTCTTATCCCATTTAGAGATTCTCTTCTGTTCTGGTCTTCGTACAAAAACTTTACTTCCATACAAACGCAAATTAGAAACATCAGGTTTCTGTCCAAAAAATATTTCATATGGAGTTTTCTTTTCAATTGTATCAGATAAAGTACGATTTTTCAAATAAACCGCAGCACAAACTATTTCAGGCCAATATTTTTTATGAATATCTGCTTCAGCCAACAAACATCTTGACATATCCATTATAGTTCGATTAAACCGTTCTGCAGTCCCATTCAATTCATGTACATATGTAGGACAATTATCAATTACTATACCCCTTTCTTTTGCAAATCTGTAGACTTTACTGTTCAAATATTCTTTCCCATTATCACATCTTAAAATCTTTATTTTCTTTCCAGTCAAATTTTCACTTTCATTCGTATATTCATTCAAACAATCACATACTTCTGCTTTTGATTTTATAGCATATACTTTAGAAATCTTACTATAATCATCAATGAAAGAAACAAAATAATTTTCACCTTTAAACCCAGTAGTTCGAAAAGGCCCACAAACATCAGTATGTACAATCTCTAAAATATCTTTAGCTTTTTTTCTACTGTTTACAAACGGAATATTATGCATTTTACTTTCAATACAAATCTTACATTTCATAAATTCAGATTCAAACTCATTAGGAATTCCATTCAACAGCTGATCTTTAGATAAAATATTCAAATATTTAAAATTTACATGACCTAATAAACGATGCCATTTTTCCTTTTGATTCATATTATTCATATCTTTATTTGCAACATTTACATGCAATTCAACTGATTTTAATTTACTTTTCATAATATATAAGCCATTATTTTTTAAAGCAACTGCTGTTATATTACCAAGTTTATCAAAAACTTTTGAAATATTACCTAGAGAAATAATCTTATTATTTTCTGTTATTTTGCTATAACTTATCAAATTTGATTTCATATCTTTAACATAGAAAACATTTTGCATATCTACTAAACTCTTTTTACCAAAAGCATCAAAGTAACTTAAAACATTTCCAATTTTAGTAGCTTTTACAACCCTATTATCTCCTAAATAAACATTAATGGGATCTTTAAGTAATTTACATTTATCAAATAATTTTTCATCATTAATAATGTGGTCTGTACAACCACTATCTAAAAGCCATTTTATTTCAATACAATTATTTACATTACCTATTTCAGTATTTTGTGCAATAACTGACATATCCTTACCAAGAGCTACTGTTGTAAGCCAAGAAGCACTGTTTCGCTCTTCGTTCTTCTGTCCTTGTCGGTTGAACCGCTGTGCACTTGTTCCATGCGTTCCGCGCTGTCCACGTGAGTGGCCACGTCCTCTGACGTAGCTTCCTCTTCCGGCTTCTTGTCGACCTCGCGTTTCTCTCCACCAGCCTCTACTGCTTGTCGTTTGTCCGCCATTACCCGACGCTTGATTGGCGCCATTTTTGCAATCTCGCTTGAAATGACCAACTTCGCCACACTGGAAGCATGATCGATCCTGTCGACCTTTATTTACCACAAATGTACTGGATTTTCTTCCAAAATCATTGTTTTGATTTTTTAATTCGGACATCATAACCTTAGTTTTTACGTAGTCTGCAGTTTGATCATCTTCTTTTAATGTATCTATTAAATCACCAATATAACTGTACGACTCTGGCAACGTGTTTAACATATAGTTCAATTTTTCCTTTTCAGACACACTAGCACCCGCGCTTTTTAACTCGTTTATAGCTTTTTCGAAGTCACTAAAAAATGTTGCACAGTCTCCATAGTTGTTCAATTTTAATCTTTCCAAGTTATTTCTACATACTATCTGCAATGCCGTTGATTCTTTCAAATATAAATTATCAAATTTCTTTATCATCTCATACGCCGTAGTTTTTTCGTCGATGTACTCCATCTGTCGATCCGATATTGCACCGCATATATAATTCATTGCTTTTACATCATCGTCATCCCAATTTGTATCATCATTTTCATTTTTCGGTCTGGTTACCACAACATCACACTTCTTCATTTTCAAAAATAGCATAAGACGTTTTTTCCACATTTTATAATTCTCCCCATCGAATATAGGTATTCTAAAATCACTACTACCTGCCATCATGTGTCACACTTTTTTTTTCAAACTGCACCAAACTTTTTCTGTTGTAAAAGGTACGACTTTCCAACCACGGACCTCTGCTACCATGTTAAGGTGTGGATTTGGAAAATAAATAGTCGTACTTTACTACTATTATAAAAGGCTTTATTTCCTATAACATACATACTAATTAACTAACCTAACTTAAGCCACCATACTTCTTACTACTACCTACGACTACATGATACTCATTGACATTACTATTATTGTCTGTCATGTCAACCCATGACACTATGGGTGCGTTCCGCTTACTCTTACACCAATATATCTGTGTATACAATATAAATGTATTACATTCTCAACAATTAAACTTGATTTTTGGGTTAAAATGAACTCTAAGTGAGTGTTATGAAACTAAAATTTACACTTAAAAGTGAACTTTTATTTATTATTTATTTCAAACTGACTTTAAAATCGGGCGCAAGAATAATGCATAATTTCTGTTATGTTACTTATGCTTTTTTATGATATAAATCCACTTTTCTCTTTGTAGTAGCTTTGTGCTTCGAAGTTGGAAACGAATAAAACTTAATTAAATTGACAATTTTTTGTTGTATTTTTACAATTTATAACACAGCATTTCCTAAATCCTATTTTCTTCAGAGACAGAAGGTGTAAATGTAAATAAACAAAACAAATTTCATATCATATGAAATATAACAATTGACAATATGAATTTACGAAATCTATGAAATGTGCACTAAAAAATGCAAAATTTCTCCGCTATTCGCGCACGATCGTTTCTCGTATCCCCTTCAAGTACTTGCACGTCGCCAATACAACATTAAAACACCTCTACCTCTAGTTTTCATCATCATCATCAACTAGCCTATATTTATGGACCACTGAACGTAGGCCCAAATTTCTTCTCTATATTTTTGCTGTTTGGCAATACTTTTAATTGTTCATTTTAATTCTTTGTTTTTCAGAAACCAACTTGTGAACGCGATCATAACAGAGCCGAAGTAGACCGTCGAGATCGTGAAAAAAGGTATTCTCGTTCAGAGAGCAAAGACAGAGACAGACAATCTCGAGACTATAGGGATATTGAAAGAGAACCACCGGAAGTTAATTGGCCCGAACACGATCATCCCGACTATCGACTCGAAAGAACTGACCATGATTGGAGCGAAAGAGATCGAGATAGAGGTCACGATAGGGATAGACAATATAGCAAACATGACGATAGCTATAGGAGGTCGTATAATAGAAATGAAGAGAGGGAGGATAGAAAGCGGCCGAGAACGCCACCGTTACATTCTCCAAAGCGACCTCATACACCTCAGATTCAAGAACTTACCGAAGTTGTCATGGAAGATAATCTTATTGTTCCTGTAGAACAGACTGAGAAGAGAGAAGATGAAAGTGAAGAAGTTAAGGCAAGTCCTCCGAAGGAAATGTCTGTAGACGAGCCACCGCAATTGGATGTTGAGGAGTTTGAACCCATACTTAGCGATGAAGATATACTTGATGACACAGATCACTACCAAGACTTAGAGTTTGATTACACGGCATATACTAATAATGATGATATCATTAAATTATTCACTCCAGGTATTACGGAACTTAAAAAATATCCCAAAAAGCAAAGATTTAGCATAAACGATAATGTTATAGAAATTGATGATAGTTTAAAAGTGTCGATAGGTATAGCAGATGATTACTTTAAATCAAGTATTACGAAATACGATATAAATATATTTAATAATCTAAATACAGAGATTAAAGAAGAATTTGTACATTTATCTGAGAAAGTCATGAACATTATAGGTCCTTCTCAACTATTTTGCGATATTGTTAGATTGTACGTGAATACTAAATCCTTAAACGTCGAGTCATTGTCACAAGAAGATAAAGAATTGACAGAACAAGCACGTTTCATAGTATCGAATCTGCTGGATTGGTTAAAAGTTGCGATAAATTACGATTTAGCCAATCTTCAAACCCAGCCTGCCTATAAAATAAGGCATCTCAAGAGTGGTGTTAGATTGGCTGATTATTGCTGTACAAGTTCAGACTTTGTAACCCTTTTGTGGCAAAATGATGTTAATCTTCATAAAGAACTACTAAATCTCTACGAACAAGAGTTTATGGCTTTGTCTATCAAGCTCATGATACTTAAAGCGCTAGATACATATTTGCACCATAAATTTGCAGTCGAGAAATTTCTTTGGGGCGATCGAGCACACAGCGAAACATCTATAAGTGAATCAGTCGAGTACACGAAACTCATTTGTTACGTTCGAGATAATCCATTGGTACGCATAAAATTTGCCTTAACATCAATTATCAAAAAGCTTCACCTTTTTGAAGTACTTCACAAATTGCATTCTATTCTAATAAAACTTCGCGGTACCTCTTACGACATTTCTCCAGAGGAAGTCAATTTGATGACCAAATCTTTGAGCGAAATTTTTACTTACGTTCGAAAAGGGCCGTTTGTGTTGTCACAACCAAAGAGATTTTTGCCGGTAGCTTCACAGTTTGAAGTTATGAGGGACCATAAGGATAGTATCTTGATGGATTATTTCAAGATGTTTAATTTGCTGCAGTGCTTCCTTTTATTACTCACCCATCCTAGCACTATGAACCTACCATTAATAAAAACTCCTATATACGAGGTTATTTCTAAAATGTTAACAGATAATGAGGGTCTTCAATTTTTATCTGAAAATGTTAGTACAATGAATTTGTTATTAAAGTGTCTCTTGAGGAACGAAGAGGAGATCCAGTATGGCAGTGTGGACATGAAGTCGCACAATTTAGGGCTAAAAGTAGCTTACAAACTACAAGCTTTGTATCACATAGAACTGCTTTTAGCCAAAGCGAAAATATTGAATTATGACTGGGAAAATCCAGAAATTATCGACAACTTACACTTATTATTTTGCCTAACGTTTTCACCGATAGGGAAAGTTTGTTGTGCTGAAGTTTTGGGATTGGATAATAACGTAAATGCTTTACTTCAATTCGTAGATTTTATTTTTTCGAAAGACAAACCCGATATAATTCTTGCACGTATTAAAAGTTCTCCATCCATCGGTTATATAATTGATTTGGCTTTCATGGCAGTTACCGTAGTTTCCAACGTTCCTTTAATGGAAAAACATTCCAAATTACTGTTGCATTTGAGTAATCATCACGATATGTTTGAAGAAAATGAATGCAATAAACTCAACGAGCTAAAGTACTACCTTCTGCCGTTTGAAAATGTAACAACTTTAACTTACGATAATATTTCTACGTTTGTCGATGTCATAATGAAACAGATGGAAAATTTTCCTCATAATCTAGGTCCTATAATTACTTCTTTAAGGATTATAGAACACTTGGGAATTTGTCCTTATGCCAGTTCTCAAGGAGTTGCAGAACATCCTTTATGTCATTATGTAGAACTGAAATACAAGCATGTTATACTACAACTGTTTTCTTTGGATGGAACTTCTTTACTTACAAAATTGTTGCAAAAAATATGCGAATATTACGAACAACCGAGTCTGCATTCTTCCGTAATAGCTGCCAATCAAGGTTTAATGATAGTCAATACAGTTAAACCCTCCATTGTATTGTTAAAACAAATGTTATCTTATGTGATTCAGTGTCAAAATACAAACTTCAAGGATCTTTCAGTTATACCTATACTTCTAAAAACTTACAATCTACTAATCAATTTTCCGATCTCTTCAGCAATACATTTCGTGGTACAAGATGTAAAAGCTAATGTAATAGATACTTTATTAGTATACACGCAACCTGTATCTGAGCAAGTTAACGAGAAAGATTCTTTAACTAAAACTTTATGGACTCAAATGTGTGGAGAAGTTATAAAATACGTTACGCTGTTGCCACATACATTTGTATCAGGACTTCTGATATTTTCAGAGCTGCTACCTTTACCTCTTCCTCTGCAGACTAGCGATGACCTTTCTGAGAATGAAATATCGTGGATAATTAGTTTGAGAAAACTTTGGTCTGCTCACTTGCACCCTCATAGTACCGTTATACAAGATATGGTTAATAAATTGTGTATATCAACACAGCCGCAATTATTGAATCTGTTGAGGCGTATTTGTGTACAGATTTCAGATCTAGCGGCAAATTCGGCTATTATGATAACTAGGGGAGTATTAGATAATGTGTATGATGCTGTGGTGCCCAAAGAAAATACAAAAATTGCTCCTTGTACTCCTTATATCGCTCGATTGCTCAATTTCTTAGCGTGTCTCGTTACCCAAAATACTATTAAATGTGCTTTTTTGCATTTAATGCACTCAAACAGCCTTGTAACTCATAAAACAGAAGAACGATACGTGAATTTAATTCCAGCGTTTGGACAAATTTTGAAAACGAGTTCGACTACCACCAGCCACATACAATCACAAGAGTGTATCTTAAGCATAATACAAAGTTTTTGTGACATTGAAATTACTTTGACACAGACTGGAGCTGACGGTAAAGAAATATCGTCTGATGAATATTTATCGAATGCTTTGCCTATGAAGGAACATCTCTTGTCTTATATTAATATGATGGGAGAACACCTGACTACTGATAACTCATTTTTGACTTATTTACCAATAGTGAGGGCGCTGATATTATTAACCGAACATGACTACGGATTTTTCCATCTTAAAGATCTCTTATTAAAGAAAAATGATCTGTTCTTGTTGGTGTTAAATAAATTGGTTGAGAATTTTTCAAAAGACAATGGTGAATGTTTGTCGACTTTGAATACTTTGGTTGAATTTTTAAGAGTGTGCGTTACAACAGAGGAGGAAACCGAACCAAACTTACCGTATACTCCAAGAACGATCAAATTGACATTAGAAGAATTAAGAAACATTATAGGATGGACAGGAGAAGCCGTTAATGAACATCCATTGAAAAAATTGGAAACAGTTTTGAAAGTAAGTAATTATTACCGTTTTCTAAATTTTTATCTTCTCCCTTCTTGTATGTAGGCTTTCAAGCCTGTTTGTTTGAAAAAGTATGCGCGCATTCATTTCATATTTTTGCAGTTAATATTTTTTCTGTTACGGTACTGTAATATGACCTAATTTGGGTGCTGTATTTCAATCTTTTAAAATATATTATTTCCTGTGAGTTCGTAAAACTCAAACTGGCTCTCATTTATCATGTTAACGTACGCAGAATTGGGCTTTTTCTTTTTATTCTATGTCAAAAAAGATTGAAACAAGTGGTTGATTTATGGCACTTGCATCTGTTGACCACCCAACGATCAGAGGGCGGTTTTGCCCTGGTAGCGATCTCAAGACGGACACTTTTGCCACTTCTTCGTCACGAGTGAACGAAAACACATTGACCGGTCTTGTGCTGCGTTTCGGCGACGCGGCGTCCCTCGTCCCGGGCGTCGGTACCACCGGCCAACTCTACAGCTTGGTACGAATTCATCAATCGAATCAGAGGTGAGTCTATTCTTGTATAAAACATTGATAATGAGTAAACCAGTTTATTTCTAATTTATTTCTACTTTTACAATTTATAATTGCTATTTTCACCAATTTTATGTATCAACAATATCACATTTTTTCGTTATAATTATTTATTCAATATAATTTAAACCAGCGACTTCTCAAGTTTAATTACTAAACACTGTTTCTTCTTCAATATTAGCCTCCTAAATTGTTTAAATTATCGTACCATCTTTTTCTTGGTCTGCCAATACTTCTTCGTCCATTTGATGACTTATCTCGTGCTATTCGTACTATCCTAAACACTTTTAATAATAGGGTTCAGTTGACCCTATTGTTACCTGGATTAAAAGTGTTACCATCGCTGTACATTCTAAATTATGTTATGGTCGTATATCAAATATAGTATGCAGCTCGCAACGGTTAGTTACTGGATTAAATAACATATTTGATACTCCCCACACCTTTAATGTATCACAAGCTCCAAGCATACCAAAAACAACGGGATGTAATGACACCATCGCTTAAACATACTAAATTATGTTATGGTCGTAGATAAAATATAGTATGCCGCTCGTAACGGTTAGTTTTCTGCACGTGACTTGGTTAAATAACATATTATGTTATGGTCGTAGATAAAATATAGTATGCAACTCACAATACATCTGTATTCAGTAATGATCATAATATTACCCGAATTGCTGTAGATAAAATATAGTAAACCAACGATTAGTTACTGGATTAAATAACATATTCGATACTCCCCACACCTTTAACGTATCACAAGCTCCAACAGCATCGGGGTATAATATCGTTTTGGCAATACACCCCTTTACAACGACCCCTTTGTACGTCTAGATCCGACGAGCCAACGCGCCCCTTTCCAACAAACCCCTCTTACGTCACTATCCAATAAGCCGTTTTACCCTCACCACAAAACGCTCAAAAAATGACTAGAATGGACAGAATTTCTTTTGGAGATTAACATGGGAAAATGACCTGTTTTGCGCTCATAGCCCTGCTGCCCTTTTATTGTGTTGGTCATTTATCTTTATCTTTAGTAGATGTTTTCGATGGTTGGTATAATATTGATTGGTATGTTTCTTTTGATATATCTATGATATATCTTTGAGCTCTAGTTAACAACACAGGCAGTTGTGAATCCGAAATTAGAAGACGCATTCAACTAGCAAGAGCAGCAATGAGTGAACTAAACGGGGTCTGGCGTGATCGTCACATTACTATGACAAACAAAAAGAGACTCGTTTCAACTCTGGTCTTTTCCATATTTTACTATGCATGCGAGACATTTATCGCAAATATCTCGGTTCTGGATGAAATTAAACCGGATCAGCGTCTCTCCAGTACCGTTTACTCTAGAATTTTAAAGTTCTTTGGGCATATCCATCGAAGTGATCACAAAATGGAGCGGTTGGTGGTCCAAGGAAGGCCTCAGACTCAACGCCAACGCGGAAGATCTCCACAGCGATGGGCGGACATTACTAAAAAGCTTCTCAATAAACAGTATACTGAGGCAATACATATAACTGATGACAGCGACCAGTGGAGAAATATTATCAATCAAACTGTCCGAGCTGCTGAAGCCCAATTATGAACCACAACACATCTACTAAGATGTTAATGACTGTGATGATGATGATGTTTCTTTTATACAGTAGGTGTAAGACGTCTTCGACTTGGATGCGATGGATCTGGATCTTCCGGATCTGAATCCTTGTTGTTCATCTGCAGCAAGGTATTTTGAGCATGTTTCGTTCTCAAAATGTATCCCGTGGTTAGGGATTTTATCTAATTGGAGAGACAATATCAGCCAGATTGCGGATTAGGACCAAAGGATAGTAGTTAACTCTTCTGAAGACTTTACAGATGATTCTTCTCTCTCGTTCTAACAATCCTGTATAGGGTGATTCTAATTTCAGTATCCTAGTTGAGATCCTTTGTTAATATGACTCAAAGATATCTTTCTGAAGGACTTTCATCCTCGTATTCGTGACATACACACTTCCGAATACATTTTTCCAAAATTTCCATTCCTTTTCTAAAAACACGTTACTTATGCAGGTGCCTTAAGCTTTATTATATAAGTTTCTTTGAACTTTTCCAAATATTATACCCATTTCATTATTTTGCAGGAAACAGTAGAGGAAAACAACCCTTTCGAAAGCTTTTTGGAAGGACTGACTGCCTTACTCAAAATATTACAAGAAGACACTCTAGACGCCAACAAAGACGTTCTCATGTGTGGGGAAATAATATTACCAGCACCAGAAACTCTTCTGACTCAATTTTCTAGACGACTGGTATTTAGTTCTGCAGATGCTTGTGACGAAAGATTGACGTCAACCTATTGGCTGGGATTGCCATCCGATGAAGGAGAAAATGACTTAGAGCATGTAAGTTTAAATAATTTTAATTTTAAAATTCAGTGCTGTTTTCAATTTATAATTTAAGCTGAGTTATAACTACTATCTAATCTAATTTCATAACAAGTAACAATATTATGCACTATATTACATAAAAGATAATCAATTAACTCTATTGAAACACATGTTCTGTAAATTTATTAAGGCAGTTAACAAAGAGGTTTTTTGTAATTGGCTTTGGGATTGCTTGATCCATTCAACCACGATATATAATAAATACTGTTTGCTACAATAATAAATATAAGCTATATACATATACGCACAAAAGAGGTAGTTAATATACTATATTTATCAAAATCTATTGAAACACATTTCATAAATTTATCTTCTTCTTCCTTCTTGTATGCAGGCTTTAAAGCCTGTTTCTTCTTCAATATTAGCCTCCTAAATTGTTTAAATTGTCGCACCATATTTTTCTTGGTCTGCCAATACTTCTTTGTCCATTCTACTAATGTGGACGTTCCACATCTGTCTCCGTTTTGTCACCCATCCATTTATGTCTTTTATATTGCACGATCTTCTTATGTTTTCGCTTCTCTCCCTATCCAACAGACTTTTCCCTGATATTCGTTGAGTATTTTCATCTCTGTTTTTAGTAGTCGTCTCGTTCCAGATTGTGTCATTAAGAAATCCCGCCGTTTTACTTGCTGTTAAGCTTTGTTGTCGTACTTCTTCTTCAACATCTCCATAAAAAGTTATATCTATTCCCAAATATCTAAATCTTATGGTTTGTATAATATAGGTATGTTGCTTTTATATAGTAGATGTAAGACGTCTTCGACTTAGATGCGATCGAAAGCCTTTGTCAGGTCTATAAAAGATAGATATGCAGGTTTATTATACTCGATTTCCTTTTCTGTGATTTGTCTTAGTACAAATACGGCGTATACGCAAGATCGTACATCTATTTCTAGAAAAAAACATTTAAAACAGAACTGCAAGTACTATATGAAAAAGAAAAACTGAAAACCATTTCTGAAGCTGTTCCTCTTTTATTTTTACTTTCAAATGGAGAAATGATATCTACTTTCCAAGAAACTGTTAAGCTGCTGGAAGTTTTAATGACTAAGCCTATGTCAAGAGGATAAAAACTTTTTTACGCAACTCGATGAAAAAAGAAAGACCAAGTGCATTGAGAATGTTATCAGCTGAAAAAGCGTTTCTCAGGAACAAGACTTTAATAAATGAGTTATTGACCGTTTTGCAAGTAAAACAGAACAAAAACTCAATTTCAAATATGTTTCAACAGTGTAAATTTTAATTTTAATAAAAACTTTTGAAGTGTCGTAAAGTACTGCTTGATGCGAATTCTGACAAGTTTTTATTGCTGTTTTTGATTTAAAAATACCAAGTGCACACGTTACCCTTAAAATTTTTAATATTTTCTTAGCCTTGTCTTATTTTCATAATTATTTATCCTTGCGGTCATCTAATTATATTTAAATGATAATTTTAATGAAAATGTGCCCAAAAAATGAAAAAAATCCTTTTTCTTCCAGTACCCCGTAAATTTGGTTATCTGCTTTTTTTGTGTACAATTTTTACCTTTAATAACATAAAATTTATGTAAAGATTATTCCTATTTTAATAATGGAAAAAATTTGTATTAAATAATTTAAATAATCAACAAGCATATGGGTATCAAGCTTAAACACAAATCATAATAACTATTTATAGTATTATCTTATCAAATTGAGGTATTTTTATTTACATTTTGCTTTATTTCCAAATTAAAAACAGTATTTTTAACTTTTTAATACAAATATTTTTCATGTTACTAATACCATTCAAATCTGAATTAAAAAAACACCATGGCATACAATAGTATAAGGATTACAATGTTAAATGATAATTTTACACAAATCATGTGTTAATAAAATACTAATTAGTCATGTTAAAATAATATTGATACTTTATTTATCACAAGTTGGCAAATGCTTGGTACATTAATAAATATTCTGTAGATGAAGATATTTCTGAAACCTCGAATGTTTCATCTGCTGCTAAGAATAAAACCAGGCCCGGTTTTATTTCTCTATTTTTACTTTTTCCAGTACCTTGAATAATAATTATTATACTAGCACTGTCCCTTTTTATTGTTCTATACAGTTTGACAGAATTTGGAATTCGAATTTCTACAACTGCAAAATCTGGTACTGGAGGTCTAAACAATCTTGTATGCTCATCTTCATTGACTGGTTTGAAGAGTTTTTCCTCAGCAATATCTAAAAATTTTACTTTTGATTATAATTTGTAGTTATATTTTATATTTTATCTGACATAACATAAGAGTTACTAAGCTTTTCAAAACACATTTATGTGATACTCTTTTTATTTATGATGTTACGAATTTTTTACTTATGAATATAATATACCACACTATACATGTGAAAAATGCAACAAATTTTGCAATGCCTGTTCTTACCTCCCTTGTATTCCAACATGCTTACAAGAGTTTCAACATCAACAAACTTTGGTGTCAATCCAGCTCTCACTACATTATCTGAAGAAGCCATTATTTCAATACAATCACCATAAATGTATGCATGTGGCTCATTAGCTGCTAAGAAAATTGCTTCAGATGGTTTTAGTTTTATGTAATTTAAGAAATAGACCATCAACACTCCATTATCATTTGGAAATTGACAGTTAAGGCGATCAAACAGTGATACATGATACTTTGATTGTTCACACGAGCTTAAGTCCTTAAATTTTGCTTGTAATGATTTTATGGTAGATGAGATTAACTGTTTATCACATGTTAAAATTGACCTAAAATAAGTACAATAGTAGTAAATAAGGCCAATAGGTAAAGGAACCTCTGTATGTTAATAGGTTATTTAGAAACTAATACATGACTTACTTTACTTTTTATATCTTACCTAAATGATTTTTCAAGAAACTTTACATCATCTGTTTCGTTCATAGACTTTGTTATATTTTCCAATTCAGGTAGTTGTTCTATAAAGTGCCTTATCTCTTGTGGAGGCCTAAAACCACATAAAGCCTCAAATGGAGTGAGAGCTATAGCCATTTCAGGCTTGTGATTTGGATCTTTGTAAATGTTAGGATACTTTTGATGTAATACTTCTGCAAATTGTTTTGTAGGATGTGCTTGTATAGACAGAGCATTGTTAATTGATAAAACTTTGAATAAAAAAGGTAACTGATTATTAAATTTAGCTGCTACCTTTTCTCCTAAAACATTGGGATGTTCACTTATGTATTTGGATAAAAGTTGACCTGTTTCTTTTACTACAGAAGGTGCATTTACATGGGTCCCCATCCATAATTCTGCATATGGTGATGATTCTTCAATTTGAAAGTGTTCATTTCCTGTTTTAATTAATTGTGCTACCTTACTTTCTTGACCTCGCTTGCCCCAGTCATATTTTTGCACTTCGCAGACTAGTTCCATTATTTTTATGCAACAATTTTAGTTCTTTCTTTATCGGTAACCCCAAATTCACCTTTATTCAAAAATGTTTTATTTTTATCATTTATAACCTCTAAAATGTTTGCTTTGACGTTTAGGAGTTGTGACTCAACTGACGGTGCCGTGTATACAATTATACAAATAAAAAACAAGTCGACTGTTTTCTATTTTATGTTATTTCTTTTTAGGTATCTTGTGATTTAATAGAGGTGTGTCGACAGAATTTAAGATCAGATTTTAATATTGTTAAGGAAATCGAAAAGTTGTGTCGAATATCGAGAATTGAAAATATCGATGACAAAAAACGAATGGAAGATGAAGGCATGAAAATGAAGAAACCGTTTAGTAAGTGTATTTTTATTATGTCTAATTACAAAAGTTCTCTAAAAATTAATATATCTTTTATGATTTAATATTTAAAAATACTGTGAAGGTATATAAGAGTCTTATTTTTTCGGATATGGAACACACAATTTACATCTCTAGTGATGAGTCGTTCACAACTGATCCGGATCTTTACATTGTTCCAAATGATCCGGTCCTCATAATTATAATTACCGAAAACTCTTACGACGTTTTGGAACTCTTCCTTAAAAAAATCATTATAAATAGTTCATTAGCTATTACTTGAAAATGACTATATCTTAATGGATTGAATTTATACCAAATTTAAATATTTAATTTTTAGTCACGCCTATGAGAGCAAGAGGTTTTGCAAGGAGCGTACCCCAACGACCGGACCTCTTCCGATCTCGACCCCCAAACACGTCTAGACCACCTTCCTTACATGTGGACGACTTCGTTGCTCTGGAAACTTGTGGAGCACAACCAACAGGACCTACAGGATATAACAAAATTAGCAGAGAAGTATTAGCATCAACGAGGATATCTAGAGGAACCAGGGGAAGAGCTTTTGTGACGTCTGAGAGATCAATGCAATATAGACAGATGTAAGTTAAAGTTTTTGCATTGTATATCTGTTTAATAAACCAAGAACTTCTATATTCAGACATAGGCATGCATTTGTCTCTGTATATTTACTAAATATTGTAGTGTATCTAGAGTTTTAGATAGAATAACAGTGTCATCTGCAAATATGTCTTAGATAACTCGTTTTTCTGGTTTTTACAATATTTAGGAGTTCTCTCTCAGTCTGATTCTGATAGATCACACTATTTTGAACATAAAAATATAAAAGACTTTAATAATGTAATTTTGAAATCTTGAATTGGGACGTCAAATTCGTTCAGATCTTCTTAATTGGGAGGTTCAGGTATAGGCGACTGCTGTGGTGAATTGTTAAGAGCAATACATTCTTTAGCAGCATGTTCATTAATGAGTACCAGTTGAATATCAGGATGATCAGATTCTATCAATGGAACTACATTTTCATTGATAGGGTTTGTATGTAAATTAACTGAAGGAACTGAAAGTTGGATAGACGCCAGAAGATGAGGGGAGGTTCTTGATATTGTGGCTGATAATGAATTGCTTCTGGTTCATTTACAAAGGTTACATTCTTTTTAGGTACCATGGTTTTTCGAATTTGGTCAATGTAATAACCATTATTAAAATGGACTTGGTAATATAACAATCCATACTCTTTAACATTTGTGTCAAATTTCCTTGGTAATACCTTACTTTTACTCTGTCTCTCCCATTTTTATCTTTCTTGCACAAGGAGTTGATTTTCTGATCTAGTAAATTTTGGTGGATGTAGTGTGTCAAGTTTTATTTTTAAACTTCTTTTTAAGTACATTTCAGCTGATGATTTCTCTCAGGAAAATGATGTTGCTCTATATTTTAAAAGATTTTCTTGTATTTCGTTATACATGGGTATATGATTCAGTAGACATAGCTTTTAGCCTCATATTTAGGGTTTGAACGATTAGTTCAGCTAAGCTATTTGTAGCAGGATGACATAGCAATAAACTTAGTTATTCAGTGATGATGTTTAAGAAAACTATAATATCATTTGTTTGATAAATAAAAATAATATATTGTAATTTAAATGTGTTACAAAAGTAATAATCTAATTAATTTAATTATTTTTAGGCCATGGTGGGGAGCTGGTATAGGAAGAGGACCTTATTAAGTTAATTATTATTTTATTTTGTTACAGACTTGTGCATTACTATAAGTGTAAATATTGATAAAGAACCAATAAAAAGTAAACCGAAAATCCCACAAATTGAAAGTATCACTGTCGTAGGTATATACTCGTCCAGAGGATTGTGATCAACTGGTAGTATTGGCCATATAATTAACTGAAAAAACATGCAGATCAACATTCCTGAACCTAATGTAAGTTGAATATATCCCCACGCACTGTCTGAGAGAGCCATTATTCATCAAAATATTCCTCTTCAAACTTCTTGAAATCTTCTTCTGTAAATGCAGTTTTCTTTTGTTGTTTTGGTTTAATTTTCCTTATTGGCCTTCTAGACACAGCTCGATCAATAATCTAAAAAATAATTATACATTGAGAATAATTATTAACATTTAAAAATTATAAAACTTAAAAGAGCATGACGAAACTGTTTAGTTGTATTCGAAAATTAAGAACAGCTTTTAGTGACAAATACCTTTTTGATCTTCCTCAAGACGATTATATACCTGAAAATCACCTAAAGATTCTGCAGATCACATAATAATAAATATATGAAGATAATGTTTTAAGTGTCGACGAGCTGGGACTTTTTGTAAACTTACTCCAGATAAGACCTTCAAATTCAAAAATGAATGTTGTATAGGTGGCAAGTTATCAAAAAAAGGGTAAGTGTACTCGTGTGTGCAACATGTCTGGTTCTTAAAAAAGAAAGTTACTCATCATCAGTAAATCTCAAAAAACACATTTTGGAGGTGTGAATCTGCTTCCTGTGACATATAAATTTAATAAAAACTCATGGATGACAGCAGAGATTTTTCATGGAGAACTTTTGAAGCAAGACAGAGACAGAAAGATTCTTTTAATTATTCACAATTGTATAGCCCATCTGAAAGTTAACAGTTTAAAAATCATTTAACTTTTACAGAAAAAACTGTTTTTCAACATAAACTTTTAATTAAGTGGATCCTGAATAATGTGGAAAACTGTGGTGAATCCTTTGTTACTTTAGTGGATGTCATAAATTTCATTCACAAAGCCTGGTCACTCGTAGACAAAAAAACAATCAGACTTTGCTGAATTCATAGCCATTTATGATGACATCATTAATTGTGATCCTCCGACAGATAGTGAAATTATCACAGAAGTAATAAATCTGTCGAGGAGTGTGTTATCGTCAGTGTGACTAATGAAGATGGAGGAGATGCAGTAAATCTATGCAAGAAGTTTCTAACAGACAAAGGAACCTCTATGGTTCCTTTATGTAATTGGAAAAAAATGTAAGTAGATTCTTTTGTTTTAGTGTACATATTTCATTGATAATAAAAGTAAACAACTCTTTCTTGTTTTAATGTCTTTAATTGACAATAAACGAAAACAACTCTATTTCAAAAGCGTCATTCAAACAATGTTTAGCATCTTATATTGCTCCGAATGGCTTCACTATAGGAAGTTCATGTTTTAGAAAACTACATATTCATATGTATGCACAATACTATGTGTCTGATATAACGAAATCAGCTTATAATGAGGTAATTATTCTGCCATTATAATTCTCGTTATAGAGGGAGTCTACCGTATTATATTAAATTAAAATGTGAAAATATATCAAGCCCCACTAGAGACAATCCCATAAAAAAGAATAATTATCTAAAAATTTATTTTTATTACTGATACATTTAAAACCTGTAATCTTTATTGGAAGATTTAATAAATGTACTCACAGACTATAATAAGATTGTGTTTAATATTTGTTCATATTATTTTACTTTTCAGTTCTGTTTCACCCAAGCAAAATATTGAAAGTTGTCATATTCCAGAATTACTTTCCTATATTCATACATTGAAATATTCCATTTATTTGTATGTCCATTATATAAGAATAAAAAAATAAACATTATTTTAACTAATAAATAGTTACACATTATTATACTTTAGATGATGATAATAATTTTCAAATAGTTTACCTGTTTTACTAGTTTTTGATCCAATTCTACTTTACTTGCTCTTTTAATTAATTCTAGTTTCTTTAAATTATCTTGCAGGATCTGTTCCTTTGATTTATTATATTTTCTTGCTTCTGTTACAGTCAGTTTCTTTTCTGTAGATAGAAGATTGACTTTTTCTAAAAGGAAAAATAAGTAATTAAAACAAGCAATAAAAAATCACAACATTTGATGAATTTATCCCCAATAATGATAATAGGACACACTAAAGTGAATTTATGTGTCTGAGAATACAGTAATTACTGGACCTAGCACAGAAAAAGTAAAAAATGTAACAGTAAACATATTATCAGTTAATAGTCATATATTTTGTCATCTACTGAACTATTTTTCAAGTTAGAAACGAATAATAATAGTTGAGTAATTTCATGAACTTTCAACTAGCATTTCAATTTCTACTATTAAAACTACTGTTTTAATTTCTTATTTGCCAACAGCCATTAGTTTCATATGTATCCTTTAGAAAATACAAACCTGTTTTTCCCTTCCTTTGTGCTTTACCTATAAGTTTTTGGTTCTGATGAGCTAGTGCAAAAACATCAGATTTGCTTTTTCTTTTACCTACAATAGAATTAGGTATAATTAAATAGAACTAAGTAGGAATATTTATGTAAAACTGATAAACCTACCAATTTTACTACCACTTTGTGGGTCTACAATTTGTAAACTTTTTCGGACTAACGCAGCACTCATCTTAAAATCATTTATCTACACTAATATTTACAAAATAGAATTATTTTATTTTTGGGTTAGGTATCCTGGACTTCTTTCACATTTGGTCTCTATGAAGATAGCCCCAAATTAGTTTGACAGAACGAAAGTTGAGTTTACCGAAAGTACAAGCTGATTATAGCCACAAATGTCGAACATGGAACAGAAAATCAAATTTCGGTATAGCAGTGTTATAAATAAATATCTACTCGTTATTGCTTTATATAAATTAAAAATGGCAGAATTCATAAAATAGTATATTCAAAATGTACTTTTTAAAAGCTTTATCTCTTTATATTTAAAGCATACAACACAACAGGTCAACCCGAAATATTTTTGACATTTGCGGCTATATTCAGCTTGTACTTTCGGTAAACTCGACGTGACGCAACCAATAAAACATATGCAATAAAAAACAATAAGATTATAATAATTATAAAATACTAAAGACTGTAAAGATTATAAAATAACAAAGTTTAGAGATTATAAAATACCAAGATACCTAGATTATAAATAACAAAGTTAAAATTACATCTGGCAACTGGTGGTTTGAGTGTTCTGACTATTGCCAAATCTATCATTTATCTATATCATTTGTGTTTTATATAATTTATAAAATTGCAGAATCCATAAAATCATATAAAATAAAACTTATTTTTCTCTTTGTATTTGAAGCATGTAACATAAACATTCTGAGGACTTGGCAACGGCGCCAATGTCAATATTTCGTTCTATGAAACTTAACTGACAGCTAATTTGAGGCTAACTTCATCAAGGCCAAATGTGAAAGATGTCTAGTATCCCTGGACTTCTTTTTGTGTATTTCTGAATTGTCTAGCAAGAAGCATGATACTATGAATAACAAGATAGGATCTTCCCGTAGCTCAAAATCGGTCGGGTTCGCGCATGCCGTCATTGGAGACTAGAATTTGAATTCTTGTTAAAGTTAAATGAGATTTGTATGCATTCTGTGATGAAATTACTAGACGAAAATAAGTTAAGAGGTTTAATAAATACAATAATCGTACACATAAGGATATCTCCAAACTATTTATTAAAGATTATTTATTGATATATACAAAAACTGACATTTCGAACGCGCAAGTCTCCAATGACGTCACAAAACATGCGCAATATCTTATCTTATAGTCATAGTATCATGGCTAGAAGAATAATTTCTAATAAAAATTTTCTTATTCATTATCATAATTATTATATTTGAATATTATGCGTTTATATTTGAAACCAACATGAACACTATTTACTTGTATTATTTTTTCATTGATTTGGAATTATCCAGTACTGAGTTTTTTTGCAATTCTAGTAATTTTTGCGTTTTTTCTTTATTTTCTTTATTCTATTACTATGGTAAATTGTAAATAGTTGAAAATAAAAATAAATAGAATGTTGTATAATTAAATTAATATGAATTTGAGCTTATTTAACGCACTCAAAATAAGTATTCATAATGTAAGATCTAAACGGATATTTAAAAATCACGTGAATTCCCATCTCTATTACTTGGAGTAACCTTCTGACTTTTATGATTCTTTTTAGGTTAACCATTTTTAAATATTTTTATTTAAAAAATGTATAATGTTAAAGGGCCCAGTAAGTTCGTAGCAAAGACAACTAGAAGAGGTATGCATGCAAATTTAAGAAAAATAATCCTTTAAAAGCCATTTAAAATCAACAGTTACAATTTCAGGTCTTCCACAAACTATAGACAATTTAAGAGAATTTAATAAAAGAGTCCCAGAAAGTGAAGAGAACGACTATACAAAGTGAGTTTGATGTAAACATTAAAATCAACGATTTTTAAAGCCTTGCCATTTTTTATAAATTGTAAATATCAAGTGTTAAACTTTGTACTTTTAAAAGTGACAAATGAGTATAATCTACATATTTTTCCAATGTTTTAATAGACAAATTGCCTTTTTTTCACAAAGTTTAAAACTTAATTCTACCTTTCTGTTTTGCCTTTCTATATGATCCATTGCTATTATTGAAATTTGTTTTATGAAAATAATTATATCATTTTCCATTAGTTTTATTTACTCAATTTTGTGTTTTCGATCCATCAGTTTATTTCTTATATTTCCCATTTCGTTTTATTTTCTTATTTCACTTAATATTATTCAAGTGCATATCAGGTTTGTTTTTAAATTATATATTTTAAGATTCAACCAATAACAGTTGTTTTACTTATATTTATGTCATTATATTACTGATAATCAGTTTACTGCATTATTTTTAATTTACCTTAATGTTAGTTAATGTTAAAACTTATTTTGATAATTTTATAGTGGCCCAAAACCAGTATTTCACAAAAAGTCAGCCACCTCTAGTCCAAAACACAAGAATCTTACACCCCAGCATGAGGAGATTATAAATTTTATTCATGAGTGTAAGTTTTAAATGTTTATATCTTTATACAATATAATGATTTTTTAATTTTAGCATGGAATTCAGTGTGTGCAGAATTTGATCAGGAAAACTCAGAATTACATGAAGGTAAATATTGGGAAAACATTTTTAAGTGATATCTAAATAAGTTCATGTTTCATTTTAAAAGATAATTTTTCTCTAATAAAAGTTGTCAGTTGCTAATTATAATCCAATAATAGATATTATATCGCACCATAGAGTGGTGGGATCCCACCCTACATCTACAGAAATTAATTATGATGTAATTTACAAAGAATCCTAGATAGATATTGTTTAATTACATTTTATAGATTCATTTGTTTATTTACGGAATGTCCCGATTTTTACAAAATTTAACAAAAATAAAATATGCCAACCATAATACAAGTACATACTAAAACTAAGTATTAAATAATGATTAAATAATTATTGTTAAACAAAAGATTAAATTAAGTAAATTAAATTTCCTGAAGATCTTAATAAAATGAAATGATCTTAATAAAATAAGAAATGATCTTAATAAAATGAAATGAATATTCCAAGTTAAATGTCACTCATCTTTGATTCCTAACATACTCAGTCAAACAGTGCTTAAATCTTACAGACTTTATCCATACCACATATCCACCAGATCATGAGATTGGCTAAAGTCATTTCCCAGAATCTGAATCCTGTTGATAGGAGAGAATTTGCCATAATTAGTGTGATAGTGTTTTATAGAAAACAAAGGCATGTCTCTAAGAATTCTAGTGTTATATCTAAAGTTGATAAGACTTAATAAATCAGAACAGTCAGTGGTATGGTCAAGTAGTTTATGGAGAAAAACTAGATCACATTTAGTTCTGTAGTCTTCTAAGGAACTGATATTTAGCCTTGACCTTAGTTCTACCGAAGACATGTTCCTTAAGTTTAATCTATAAGCACAAATCGCAGAAACTTATTTTGAATTTTTTCAAGGGTGTGAATATGGTTAAAATAGTATGGTGACCATACTAACTTCAGAAGCTGATTATTTGACAAATTGTTGATGTGGGGATAGATGACAAGGAACTGTCAAATAACACTCCCAAATCTTTTATTTCAGTCACTCTTGATAGAAGGCTTGTATTAATGTGATAGTCAAACACAACATTATTTTTAGATTTGCTAAAGGATATAACAAAACACTTATCTTTATTCAACTGGAGACCATTGGAAATAGACCAATTATACAGGGTAGTAAGGTCTTCCTGGATCCTTAGACAATCATATAGATTTGAAACTTTAAAATATAACTTAAGGTCATCAGCAAATAGCAAAAACTGACAAACCTTTATTACCTCAGAAATATCATTAATAAACAAATTAAAGAGAAGAGGACCCACATGTGAACCTTGTGGGACCCCTGAACTGACCAAGATAGGAATTGAAAGTGAACCCTTTATAAAAACAAACTGAATTCTTTCATCAAGATAACTACTTAACCATGAAAGAAACCACTCAGGAAAGCCAATACATCTTAATTTAAAGATGAGTAAAGAATGGATTACTGTGTCAAAGGCCTTCGAGAAATCAGTATAGATGGAGTCCACTTGGTACCCATCCTCGAAAGCCCTGATAATGTAATCATGATACAAAACAAGATTTGTAGATGTAGATTTACCCTGCCTAAATCCATGTTGATCATTAATCAAGAGATTCCTACAATGTTAAGTAAGATATTTGTTTAGAATTAGTTCAAAAAGTTTAGGGATGGCAGATAACATAACAACAGGCCTATAATTTTTTTATATTGTCTCTGTCGCCGATTTTAAATACAGGAGTTATATAACTGTCACGCCACTTACTAGGGAAGGTGTGTAGTCTTAAAGATAAATTAAATAATATATGTAAAGGTTTGGATAGACTGTAGACACATCTTAAGAAATATGTAGGAATATTATCAGGGCCATAACTCAGTTTATCCTTTAGTCCATTTATAGACTCAAAGACTTCAGAAAGTGAAAATTGGATAAATGGAATGTCAATTGATACTGTAAATCCAGTTGTTGTGATTTGTCTCCTTTCTTCAACACAAGTAGTGGCCAGATGTTGGAACTAGTAAATTATGTAGACTTGAAATAAATAATCCTTAGTTCGAAACAATTTAAGGCACTTTATTTTACATTGCACTGTTACAAAAGATATTTATTACAAACATATTTGACTAAAACTAAAACTTTTTATTATTCTGCTATGTGTGAAGGAAAATTTATGTAGAGTAAATTTTCACACACAATTTAGATTTTTACACAAATCTTGAGAGGTTAAGATGTACCTACTGTCAGGTACAGGGACCAAGAACAGAGTCTGGGCAGATAAATGTTAGAGGTCAAGATGTACCTACTGTCAGGTACAGGGACTGAGAATGGAATCTCTGAATCTTGCTTCAAACCAAATTCGTCTTTGCTAAGTGTCCAACAACTGGCCCAGCTGGGTCACCATCGACTGGAGAACTCCATTTAGCACCTTTTTTTTACCTAATATTTTTATATCACAAAACTTACATGTTATTAAACTGGTTTTTCTTTTTTTTAGGTGAGTCCTCAACAATATGTTACTATGAGGAAGAACCTTGCCACTCCCTTGAAAACTTTAGACCCTTTGACTTGGAATCATGGTGGGGAAAGAGGCTGTTTGCTTATGTAACGAATCCAGAAACGCAGCAAAATTAGACTTATTATCAGTTTCTTTACAGGTATATTTACACAAAGACATCATATTTTAGATTTTTTTTATTTTATTAGACATTTGTTACCATTTTATGCAGTTGTTTTATTTGCATGTTATTTGTTAAAATAAAATTTTTAAACGAATCCTTTGGTTTTATTTTATTTGACTATTTTCATCAGTCAAGTACTCCAAATTTGAAACTGTTCAAGGCATGTATTAGATCAGGGGTGGCCAACTTAGCCAGGTTAAAAGTGAGCTAAATAACTCGGCTCGTGCCTAAAAACGTGGTGAAGATGAGGAAAGCTGCCGTAGCCAAAAGGAGTTTTGGTACCTACGTCGCGCCCAAATCTCATTAAAACTTCGTTAAAAAAATGTATAGTTATATAAAAACTAAACTAATAAATACTATACTGTGTAAAAATGTCTAAATATAAGAATTCTCTTGTAGTATAGATCTCAACTTTTTTAGTCCCTTGTCCCTGAATTCTATGTGTGACAAGTTGACAAGTCTCTATACTACAAGAGAATTCTTATCCCATAGGCTGTTAAATAAACTCATTTTCGGTTCTCCCTTTCCTTCACAAGTTTCTGTCAACCAAAATTTTCATAACAATGACACCTAAGCTAATGAACACCTTCAAAAATGTTAGTGGCTTAAAAATTACAACCAAAAATGTGAAAACGCTTTACACAAAAACAAAATATCCTTTCACAATACAGGAGTCATCGAATGTTGTTTATTTCTATATCGTGTACTAATTGTGATAAAATTTACATAGGAGAATCATCTCGTAATTTTCACAGCAGTGATATCACATCGTAGTGATATAAAAACCAAAAAAGTCAATGCATGTGCATTGACAGAACATGCACTAACTCTGAAACATGAATTCAATTTCGATGATTCCTGTATTTTGCCAAAAGAAAAGAACCATTCAAAACGTGTTTTTTGGAAATGTGTTTCATAAAATCTAGCACATCTTGCATCAATAAAAAGACTGACCACAAGCCCTTGTCTCTTGCCGTACTGCTCCACCATAGGCCGATCAGACACCAGCATATTCTGGTCTAAATCGCAGATTCATCTAGAATTTTAAACTGCTGCGTTAGCTTTTTTGTTTTCTGTACACCGAGCTGGGATCGAACTCACATCCACTGAATCACTCGCAGTGAAACGAATGAGAAACAGGCCGCCCAGCCCGCTTGGCTATCTGAACGACACAGAACATCATAAGGAATCAAATTTCATACTGTACTTACAATTCTAGACAATGATGCAAATTCGGGATTACTACCTTTATAAGAAAGGCTGTAAACTATACTGTTTCACAAAACCAGAACCATGACATTCAGAAATGATCTATTGATAATAACCAATTGAAAACTTATTTTGAAAATTAAACCAAAAAACAGATCTTGAACAAAATAAATTAAATAGGAATATCTACAAATTCTTTCATGCTTCTTATTTAAAAAAATTAAACTGTTTTTGTTGAAAATTATTTTTTCGAATCTTGTTGACGTTTATTTCTTGGCAGCTACTGTTAAATACATTTTTAGTTAGTTGCCAGATTTTGTCGCAATTCTCAATTAGAAGTTTTCTTATGTGTAGAGATAGACTATATTTATTTTCCTATTTTTTAATATCTGCTGCTATCTAGATTTAGTTAAATATGACAATGTCATTGTTAACCTTAATTTTGTAAAAACGAATACATTTTTTCTGTAATTATCTTTTTTTAATAACACTAATGATTGATTTTCGTAAAGTATGTATTTAAAAACATTTATAGAGTTAATACTGTTTTATTTAAGTATATCTTTTATTAAGACTCTTTTTAGGAAACAAAACGTGTATGCAAAAAGGAGTTTTTAAAAGGAATTAGAAATATTTACGCCCTCATTGATGAATTAGGTGCAAGTATCGTCAAATCTGCTAAGTTAGATCGACTAATTTTTATGGCTTTAAACGCTGATAAACTAAAAAACCAAAATATGGAAATGCAATTGAATGAAACGAGAAGAGAAAATAAACAACTAATAGGTACCTAATTTATTTATTATTTAATCTTTTATTCTGGATTACCGTAAGATGTCTTTATGGTCCAATAGCTTTATGTAAATAGATGCCCGAAATTTGTAGATTTTGAGCCGGTAAAAACGGCTCATGCAGTGCTTGAACAGTAAGGGTAGTACACCTTAAGGTAAAGTGCCCAAATACCGACCCCCTAAGCAAAATCTTAAATTATGAAATTTGATTTAGAGTTAAAATAATGAAAAAAACTGATTTAAATAACCTAACCCTATTTCTATTTAGTTCGGCTAATGATTAAGTCCACAGTCAAAAGAAACCAACAGCACACACACAACCCTATTTCTAAGAGTTTTGCTAGTACGATTCTAGTAAATAAAATTTCTGAAGTAAAATAAATAAATGACAAAATAAAACAAATTTCGGTTCTTTAAAAATGGTATCCCCAATTCCGTCTCCCACCCATTCCTAGTTAAAATGTATGATTTTTCCGTAAAACATGATTTAAACAGTACTAATATCAAGTTTATTGTGATAGGAACATGTTTATACACTTTGATACATAAGTTCTATCTATTTACATCTTCAGACACAAATCACAAATAACATTTTTGATCTTGGTTGAAGTTGAACACATCTCATGGCACCACTTGAAGCATTCCGAACACTTTATCCATTTTTGTCCTCGCTTGTCTCCTGAAAAACGTTTTCCACAAATGGCACATGGTGCATCTTCATCACCAGAACTATCCCCATCATCAGTTGATACCAGTGGAACTTCTGTTTCGTCCTCAGAGTCACTTGAATTTAAATCTCACTTCGTTGTTTTCTTCTTGGAACGTTTGTTCAATGATGTGCTAGGATTTTCTTTATCTTCCATGAGACGTTTCTTACCCTGTGACTGCCTCTTCTTTTCTGCCATTTGTTTCTTTTGTAAAGAGATTTTGAGAGAAGTTTTGTGAGGAGATCCAGTTACCAAGAATAAAGAAGCGGCTCTAGAAGATGTGGAAAGTTCAATAACTGGAACATTCTGGATGTCTCGTGGACTGACCACTTGAGGTGGGACTAGAACATTCTGGTTGTCATTATCCCGTCCATTGGCAGGCACCTTTTGCTGTTCAAGTTGTCTAGCAATAAAATCATGCTCCTGAAAGACATCAGAATTAAATGGATGGATCCCAGTCTTCCTAAACCCATTGACTGCCGTTTCAAGAGTAGCTGTTTATTTATTATATTTGTAGTTTTCTGACAACTCTATTTGGGTTACTAGCCAACCATTGTTCTATAGCTTTTGAGTAACTAGTTTTCATAAGAAATATAAACGATACATCCAAAGGCTGTAGCTTGTCTGTTGAGTGTGGAGGAAGGCAAACTATAGATACTCCTGAGTCTCTTGCAATGTCAATAAGTTCAAGATTTTCTAGTGTGGGAATAGTGACCATCAAGGATGAGGACAACAGGATTCTCTTTTGATGGGTTCACAATGAAGTGTTTAAACCACTTAAGAAATAATGGATTAGTTACCCAACCTGAATCTGAACATCCGCCTATCGACCCTGGAGGAGCTCCGTCAAGCAATTCTTCCTGCCACCATTTAAGTGGAAATATTAACAAGGGTGGAATATCTGGCCTGCTGCTGACATATAGGTTATGACTGTGGTTGTGGATCTACTTTCAGCAGATGAAAGTTTATGCACTTGCTTTTCCCCTTACAGGTTACTACTCTAGTAGCTGTGTGCTGGACTACAGATATCCCTGTTTCGTCTACATTAAATATTTTTTGAGGGTCAAAGTTTATTTTCTCGAGTCTCAGCTTCAGGATAGAGAAATACTTGTTAACATTTTCTTTTGTGAATCCTTTAGCTCTAGCCATTGACAAGTTCTGTGGTCGTCTGAGGGAAAGCTCTGAATGGCGTTTGAAAAACAGTCTAACCCACTTTTTGCCAGTAGCCTTTGATTCATCGAGAAATAATGAGGTACTTGGTTTAAAATACTTGGCTAGCTGGTAAGCCAATCGCCTTATGTCAGAAATAGAAATATGGAGCAGCATTGTTATGGACTGAGTATATGATGATGAATACAGATGTAAACTTTCCAGCCTACAGGCCATTCACTAGTTTCATAAATTTTATTACGAAGATAACCATTGGGGAAATATTTGGGCAAACTACTGCAACAGGATTTATTTATGTATTTTTTAAGCGTAAAAGCTATTTTTTTTTAACATACTCCTTACTTTTGTTGGCTGATGGAATCTTTTAAGGTCGTCTTTAGATAAGATCAATAAAAAATAGATGTGAACGTGTTTTAGATTTTTAATATTGTTACGAACATTCATTCAGCGTGGCCTCCTAACGGTCGCATCTCGAAGCCCCGAGAAGTTTCGGCATATATCGAGCCTGTAAAATTCCACCCGTCAAATAACGAATTAAAGGTGAGACTACTCCCGAATATTCTCGAACATAATACGTTGGGTATATATATGTAACGAAATTAGGATTTTATTTAGTTGATAAGATAGTACCGAACTGTAAAGTTATAAATAAATCATTTATATAAATTCGAACCGCTCGTTTTTATTTAAATCCTCGCTACAATATAAAATACACGAACTAGTTTTTGAGCCAGACTAATAAATGCACATTATTTTTTAGATATGTTACAATTAGATGAACGTGTTGACAAAGACCTTTCAAGAACAGACTCTAACACTTCCTGCGGTACTGTAAGTTTAGTACATTTACAATACAAGTATGTACCTACAGCTTCAACGTATAATTAATAAGTCTATAATATACTTATAACAGTACTTTTTAATTTAGGTATGAAGAATTGGTCAAAAATCAAAATGGTCTTTTAAAAATATTAGATATTCGGCATAACGAAGTACGTAAATGCCAATCAGAGAATGCACGGTTAAGACAAGAAATTGAAAATTTTAAATTTATGATCCAGAAGTATGACATAGAATTTACCAAACTACTAGATCAGGCTAAAAGGACTAAAAATAGGAAAAACAAAAAGGTATTTTTGATAATAATACAGTTACGCGCATCCAGAATATCTCTTCTGAAATACGAATTCATCTTTAATTATATAAATTTTCTGTAGTATCGTGAGAAACAAATCGTGTAGACCTGGCTTAAACACATATGACAGCTTGTTGGTCACACTGGCTCCGGTACAGGGGGAACGCTATGTTTTTCCGTGAATGAGGGATAACCATCGAGCAATAAGAACAAAAGAGGGAATCTAATCGTTTTGAAAAGGAGACCAAAAAAGTGGCCTCTGATGGCGGACATATCCGGAAATTCGAATGCGCCCAAATTTAAATTTCATGACACTTGACAATAATCATACAGTGGTGTAGGAGTTCTAATTTCTCTATTTTATTTATTTTATATTACATAATATTTTATATTATATATTTATCTATTTATTTATTAAAATTATTTATTAAAATACTTTTTTTAACACTAGGGCACAATAAAGTTTTAAATAATTAATAACGATAATAGTCTAAAATGTTAAAAAACTTCAATAGAAATATAAATAAGCTTTCATGTGACAGTTTTGACAAACAATAACATCAACAATAACATAACCCAACTAAATTTGATTTCTTTAAACAAGGAAAGAGATTCTCTTTCCTTGTTTAAAGTGGCCTCTCAAAAATAGCACTTCCTGTCTATCAATGTGTTTACCCCCACTACCTTTACAATTCCCTCTTTTGTCTTATGCTCGATGGGATAACCTTAGTTTTTTTAATATACTCTGTTTTTTAACCAGGAGGAGTAAACCAAAAAGACAGACTCACACCCAAGAAAGTTACTAGAAAAGTCACCAAATACATCTTCTTTTTTTATTATCTCGGCCTTGCGGTAATCGATATTCAATTCATCAATTCTAACCTAACTTTATTAATTTATGTTAAAGAAATGTTTTTTTTTCAATTCACTTCCAATAGATATTACAATTAGAAAGACGTTTTCACATTTTTCAAATTCATCTAAGTTTGGTTTTCACATAAATTTGTCTTTTAATTTGCAAATAGATCTAATAAGTTTGCAACAAAGCTATGCAAATGCATGTATCAAAAAGTTAGAGAGTTCAAAGATTCTGAAATACTGTTCTTTTAAACTACGTCGACCATATTTTTATTCTGATATGATTAATTTCTTGAATATAGGTTTTTTTCTTACCAGAGAGATAACTTTGACTTTGATCATTATTTTTAAGCTTAATAATCTAATCTCCTGAAGTGCTTCAGCCAATTTGTTTTACATACTCCTCCCCGTTCACTGCTTTAAAATTCACTTTTTCATGTTTCCCATTACAGAATAAATTTATGGTTCAAATATAGGTGTGGTCCTATTTGGTATACCCGTTCGCTATTCCCAGTCCGAACTGTCTAGTGATTTTAGTAATTATTTTTTTGCGAAGTTAGTTACTTTTTGACAGACTCGAAGTGGCTGGAAATTACTATACAACCAAGCATACGTGCTCTTAGTCAATATTAATGTAAACAAAAGTAAATAAAATAGAACTTTGCCGACAATCAATATTTATTTATTTACACCGTATAATGTATTGATAACAAATAATAAAATTATTTATTGTACAAAATAAAAAAAGTGGGAATAAATTCTTGCAAAATTAAAAAGTCAAAGTGAGGTTAAATAAGACACAGCAAGTTCCTTATGTTGTGACTAGGATGGAATCAATGATTAAATATTAACAATTCATTGGATAGCATTAACATAAACTGTTGTTTTATTATCTTACAAAATAAGTGTACTTCCATATGCTAAAAGCAAATATTAGTAATTTGACTAGGCAAATTCGTGGTTCAATAGTAATTTTTGCTCATTAGCATTTTGAGGATGTTAAAATCTTCCACATATGGTTAATGAATTCAGTGTCCTGGCCGCAGTCTGCATTCATATAAACCCAAACAAACAACAAAAACCTCCATGTGGTATAAACAAGTTTACATTAAATTAGAAACAACTAATCTAAAAATATTAACTTTTAAAAAACATTTTATCATATTTATTAAGAAAAACTTACCAACCATTAGCTGATGGAACAAATGGAAAACTTTACTATCCATAATAATAAAATTTAAAATATAACTAACTAATTAACTGAATAGAACTAACAAAAGAATTAAACAAAGATAATAAACAATAAAACTATATTAAATTAAATAAACAACACGAATAATACAAATATTTACTACAGTATTACAATGCTACAAAATTTGATGGGTTTAGTATACACTCCACTATTTAGAATAATTCTTCTTTTTTTTCAAAGAAAGAAGTCTGCAATAGTAGTATACTTGAGCTATTAATACTGAGAAGTAGGAATTGTTGTGTTGTAGGTTTCGACAATGAGTCTGTCAAAATATGCCCTAGCTAAGCGAATAGACAATAATCATGTTACCTCATTAGATAGATTTGTTTAACTTATGTATCAATATCTTTAGGTTCTATTTGAAGCACTATAGTGCAAAAAGATACTTTGTATAAATAAGTGTGTACTTGCAATTTTTTTAATGCTGGATTCTTGAGTCTGTAACATTTGTTATCAATAAATAAAATTGACTAAAATTAACAAATTCAATCTATTATGTTACATTCAAGCATAATTTTGCAGTTTTCTTGTGATTATCTACAACCAGGAAGAACAAAACCAACTGTATCAATACAATCAAACTAAAACACAACATTACTTTACTAATGTTCTTTTATTGTGATGAAAACAAAATGAAAATGCTTCTTAAACAAGTGTACACTAAATTTAAAAGATAGTTGCCGTTTTTATTATGATAATTAGATATAAATAACATACATTTATAAATTTATAAACACTTTAAACAATATTTAGTATAAATATCATCTAGAAAAATATCACATTAAATAATATTCGCATATCACCAGTCTGCTTATATTCTTTAATTGTTTGGTAAATAGTTGAATTCGCAACACCTAAAATTAGCACATTACTTTAGTAAGTCTTGATTTAATAATAACTATTCTGCAAAACTAACCTGCTGCCTAGTTTTACTTTTGCTACCGTGGCTGTTATTTTCAATCCAGAATTATCAATTTTCATTTTTTTATACATGTTTATAATACATTGTTTATTATTTGTTGATAAATGACCCAAATCTACTCGGCGTTTTTAAGGTGGAGAAGAATAATTACCACTAGTACTTGGCATTGAATCCATATTGTTATCTTAATAACACTAATAGTTCTGAAAAGAACTGTTCTTTATATAAATGCAAACGAAAAATCTATGAATGTAAGGAATAACGCAGAAAATACAAAAAATCGTCAATATAAATTTTGAATTTTAAAATTTCACAAATGTCATTAGTGTCAATAGTCATAATTTAGTGGAGTAAACAATGACGTATTATATATAGACTCGGTGAACGCTTTAAAAAGTGTCCAAAACATGAATACCTTTGTTATTGTTTATTGTTTTGATACGAAGATGCACGAAGTTCATGATTTCTTACGAAGCATCACGAAGTTGATCTTGTGTTTGAAAACATCATGGACGTATGAAAACATTTCTCCATTTTGTGTGACAAGCAAATTTTATTTTAAATTGTTGAGAGTTATTTACTTACTATTTTAGTAAAATGCCATACTATTTTATCAAAATAATTATTTCTCTTATAGACGGGAACAAAAAGAAATCATAAATATTTAATTTTAATTAAAAAAATAATTATTGTCATTAACATATAAATGAGCACGCCGCTGTTCTGATAAACATACCTTCAACCTTGAGCCGAGATCTTTCGGACACTCGATTCTATAGCGAGAATAGGGGACTGCGTAGTCTATATATTATACGTCATTGGGAGTAAACTTGCCTGCGGTGGGACCAATTCTTGCTCGATGGACAAGAATTACGGCGCGGAAAATTTGAATTACTCCTCCAGGTTAAAAAACAGACCATAGTAGTCAACGTTTGTTTAACTTGTTTTTATACTATAGTATAATAAAGCGCCTAGCGGCAACTAAAGGCCGTCACTTTTAATTTATTTTACTGCTCCTCGGTCACATACACTTTTTCTGCTTTAAAACTGAACTAGTCTATGTCCGAAATCACACCTTTTCAGGAGAGCAATTTTGAAGTTTTTCAGAAGTTTAGTTTTCTATTATTTTGTTTTTCAAACATTAACGTTTATTTTGTGCATACTTTTCAATTCATTCAGCTATTTTTACCTGGACTTATGCTAGTTCTACACTAACAGTTTTCTTCATTTTTACAAAAACACGCGGTGGCTATTTAAGTAAAGCCGAATGAAGAAATGATTAAATAAATTACTACTGTTCATAAAAATACAACTATGTTATTAATGTCACTGATTCAATGTTAAATTCTAACATTTTGTGGAGGATATGTCTTAACACCTTGGCTACCGTGTGAGATGCCGGCATCTCACACAAAATATGACTGTGGTACCGTGTGAGACGCCGGCATCCAGCGTTATTAAATGACTTAAAATGCTCTAAAACAGCCTGGGTTAAAACGAGAGTTTTTAGTTTCTCGTATTGGTTTCAAAATAAAGTAATGAACTTATAGTTACCATGGTTTTTGAAAAAGTGTAATATAACTTGCATATTAGAGATTGAAAGTAAAATGTGATTTTTAATGAATTCAGGTTAATAATAAAGTAAAAAAAAAACTTTATTGCTTAAAAAATCAAATACAAAATACCAAGTTACAAAAAATAATGAAATTTTAACAATCATTTAATGTTTTAAGTTAAAACAGTCCAAACACATATATGGATTTCCTGAACAACTGTTACAAAACGTTGCCACCTGCTTGCATTTATTCTGTGCAAACTTTCTATCATGACTAACTAACAACTTATTGTAACATGTCATACAACGCTTTCTCTTCTTTCTGTTTCTCTCGTCTTTTTCTTGTACTTCGATCAGCTCATGTTTTGGGATTTTTTCAACTTTCTTCTCGTTCGAAATGGATGCAAAACTTTGAATAATTTGTAGTCTAAAATCTCTAGATGTAATGTTTTTACCCGTAATTGTTTTATATAGAAGATGAGCATTAACAATCGAGGTTCCTAAAAGTAACTCCAAAGCTACTTTGTGGTACCATCTGATGGTTCTTCTTAACACACTATAATAGCTGGCCATTTGGTCAGATATATCGATACCTTGTTTGTATTTATTGTAAAAAACAATAGCTTCGGGCTTTATGACAGGTTCTCCTCTCCTATTTTTTTTTTGTAAGTTCACACATTTTCAATGTATGTTTTGTTGATAGAAATCTTACGTTCCTCTTATCCTTCCAGTTCCCAACTACATATCCTTTTTTACTTTCCTCTCCTACAATCTCTCCACGTTTCATCTTTTTAGGTTCTAGAATAGATTTTGGGCAATTTTTCACGTTTTTTCTTAGTGTTCCAATTAAATGTGTTTTTTTTTTCTAACAACGTTTGAGCTAATTGTGGGTTAGTATAAAAATTATCTACTACTAAAGTTCTTCCACATCCAACATAATCTTCAAGCAGTTCATAAACAACTGTATTACTTGCTCTCTCTTCTCTGTTTTTCTGCTTCATTTGACCCTCGTAAATCTTAACGTGGTAAGTATAACCTTGAGAATCACAAATTTTAAATAATTTTACACCATATTTAGAAGCTTTTCCAGGGATGTATTGCTTAAAAATTAATCTACCTCTAAAAGGTACCATCGATTCGTCAATTACGACAACTTCTTCGGGAGTTTTTAGGTGTTTGTATTTATGTACAAGAATATCGACTAATGGTCTAATTTTGGCTAATCGATCATTGGGATTATTAGTGCTGTTATCAGAGAAATGCAGGTGTCGTAGTATAGACTGAAATCTATTACGCGACATAAGTTGTGGTACAAACTTATTTGCAAATAAAAGATTTCTTGACCAGTAATCAGATATTTTTGGATATACTACAAGGCCCATGTAAATTATGATAGCAAAAAATTTTCGTAGTTCAACATTATTCGCAATCGGTATCCATTTGCCCTTTGTAGTTCTTGAAGCCTGAATATTCGTCTGAATTCTAATTAGGTCTAGGACGTCATCATCAATGATAGCAGATAAAATTTTTATTGGAGTAATATCACCATCTAATACATTATTAACTCCTCCCGTTCCAGAATATACTAAATCTTTTAAGTATGCACCATTTACCTCTCCCCATTCTTCACCTTCCTCATTAGATTGAAACTCTGTTGTTTTTGGTTCATCTTCTGGATTCTCATCACTGCTCTCCTCAGTATCGTCGTCTAACATCTCATATTCACTTCCACTGTCCTCAAATGGTTCCTCGACATCAGAAGTATTATCCTCGTCCGATGGGATTTCTTCATACCATGCCAGCCATTGGTTCACTTGTTTTTCAGACATAGTAGAAACTAAAAAGAGTGATATCAAAAAATGAATGTATTATTTAGTGTGATTTTTACTTACTAAAAACTCAAAAATTCGCTGAAGCTACTTGATGTTATTTTAGAAAACAATTCGACACAATAAACACTCAAAATCTATTAGAACAGCGTTTCAATACACATAATATTCCACTTCTAAATTGCAAATGAATAGCAAATGACGGAAGCAGTCGGTATGTAACGTAATCTACTTAGAAGTGATATGGATATGGACTATGTGTAATATGTGTTTGCCGGCATCTCACACGGTCTCAATTTCAAGTTCACGTTTTTGCAACATTTGTGTACCGTGTGAGTCACCGGCGCACATTTTTTCAAACTTGAAAATTCAGCAAAAATATTTTTTGTGATAATATTTTTACACTGTCTTTGACATAATAAAGAAGATAAGCTTAAAATTTGATAACAAAATATTTGGTACAAAATTACAAGTTATTAGTTTAAATGGGCGGTAGCCAAGGTGTTAATGAATGAATCTTGTTAATTGTTGATTTTTCTGGAGTAAATCCGGCCTAGTATTTTCCAACTATGTCAACTGTGTAAGCTATTAATTTGTAGTAGACGTGTTGTGATACTCTCCGCAGACTGTAAAATGCGAAAAATAAGCTACTCTTATTTTTAACTATTTTTAGATTCACAAACTTAAAACTGAACGGGATACTTTGCGTCTAGTGCATAATAGGTTTGTAAGTCTATTAACAGAGCAATCAATTGAAAAAGACAATGTATTAATAGAAGAACTCCAGAACGCATCAAGTTCAGAAAAGGCTTTGCTAATTCAGGAGGTAAGATTTAAATTTTAAATCTTCGTAGTTATGGTTCTTATATCAGAACAGTTTTTTTAGTACACCAATTTTTACTGTAGACATATAATACTCTACTCTGTGGCAAAGCTGTTTTATATATCTATATATTTTAGGTTCGCAAGAATAATATTTTAACATACGAAAATTTCCAGTTACAGCAGAAACTAGACTATTTGCAATCTAAATTAAATTGTAGAAAACCATCAACATCCAGAACAAGTACAAGTTTAAGTCAATAATTTTAGAATTTAACTGTAGGGTCAAACATATTTAAATTTCTGCAAAATATAAAGATAATAAATAACGTACTTTACTTTTAATTTAGTAATTTGATATAATTTATATTTTTCTTAAATGTTACGCTAATGTAACGTTCAATTATTTTTTTTACTTAGGAAAGAATGGATTTTCAATGTTAAGGCTGTTTTATCGGTGCACCAAAACCTAGGAACTCTTATTTACCGACAAAATGTCTAGAAATTTGGACACAATTTCCGAAACTATGTTGATTTTAAAATGGTGGTTTTACTTTTTTTATTTTTTTGAAACTTATGTTGAAAAATTGGATTAAACTGTTTCACGTTCTATATAACCAAACTTTTTTACGCCCATCACTTGAAAGAGTTTTTTTTTCTGTAATCGTTGACTTTTTTTTCACCTTCTGTGTCCAGTAATAATCGAGAAAAGCGTGTTCAAACGTTGAAGAAAATTGCTAAAAAATACTAAAATCTAATAGTGAAAGCATAATTGTCGCTTAGCTTCACTGATGTCTTTCTTTGCTTTATATATTACCAGAAAGCGTTCGATTGTGTTAATCATTCAGAATTAGTAAGATTGCTCCAGGAACGTTTGATAGATGAGAATGACCTTAAAATCATAAAGAACCTTTATATGAATCAAGTGGCACCTGTGAGAGTAGGACTGGAATCTAATCATATTACTCAATCGAATAAAGTGTACGACAGGGTTGTGTTCTGTCACCCTGATGCTTCCTTAGTTTGTTTAGCTGCGATCATTTTCTTCATATCGGCCTGGGACATTTAGTCTAGGACTTAAAAGGAAGATGTTAAATAAAAACAGACATGAAACACTTATTTGATATTTTACTTATATAAAAATATTTCAAAATACAAATTTACAATATAATTACTAAAACATGGATATCTTGGAAAGACACTAATATATATACTCATCAAATCTATTTGTACCAGTAAAATTGTTTCAATTTGTATCTTGTCTTATTGTAAAAGCTTTAACTGTTGTCGTCTTGTTACTGCGGTCCCTTTATGTAGCAATCATTCTTTCCTGGTATTTGGTTCAGGCTGAGATTTTTTTTCGTTTGCTAAATGAAGTAAAGCAAAAAATGCTAGTGGGCATGACAATTTATCTTTTTCCTTAGAAGGCATTATATCCGGTAATGCTTTGTACAATTCAGAATAGGTCTGTGGTATTATTTTTTCGTTTTTATCTTGTGTCTGAAAAAAAAAAAGATCATAGTTTTGTTAAAATAGTAAGGATGCATGGCATTTTCCCGCCGTAGCCACGTCAATAATGAATTGAACGGTTATTGTTATAATAGTGCCAGTTTGGAGGGAGGTAATAAACAGACGTAGGCTTCTCAGGTGACATAATAGTGACAGATGACAATACAGCACCACTGTGACAGATAATTTTAAATGTGACCTTATGGCAAGTGATACCTCATTTGAAAGGTATTGAAAAGAGGTATTCAGTCATAATAATTTTGTTTGAGTTTAAGCTCATTTTGATGAATAAATTAAATAAATACTAAAATTGTAGCTTCTCATTTAATTAATAAATATTTAACAACCAGTTTTTATAATAGGTGTTCAAAATGTGCTCCATCTACTTCTTCTTCTTCAAGTTCCACTCCTATCGGAGATTGGAAATCATTCTGGCAATTATAATTTTATTTTCCATATAAAGCTACTCTTTCACAGCTACTTTTCCAGCTACTCCAAATAAACCCTGAGTGCCGTTCGCATAAGTATCGATTTTGCTTGCCGTATCTCCACCCCCAGTAACTTCTGACCCAATTTTCAACCCCTTATAATAATAATACCCTATGTGGTAGGCAAAATGTTTCCTTACAGTATATATACATATATAAACTAAAATAAATTTATAAAAATATAAGTAAAATATTTTTTACCTGAGTAATGACGTTGGTTAATTTATACCATATCGCACTTTTAAGTTTCTTCATATTTATTTGTTTGGCTTTCTTGGCATATTGTATGTACGTGCTAGGTACCTTTACAAAAAACAATAATTAATAACAAATCATAAGGAAATTTGTGTAATCTTACCATTTCTGGATTTTCCACCAGATTATCAGCCAAATTTCCTCCAAATTGCACTAAATGTTCATCGTCGCCTACTATATTATCATCATCCATGTCTCTGTTATCCATGTCTGCGTCATTGTCATTGTCCTGAAAAATAAAAATGGGAAACGATTAATGAATAGTTGGTATCAAGAACTAGTACCAAAAGCGAAAAATGTAAATTTAGTACATTTTTGAATTAGCTGATCTACAATTTTCTAAGAGAAAACAAAGGACATGCACCTTACCTGATTTTGGGAACAATATAGCGAATCGTTAGGATTTTCATACTTATATGGACTAACTTCAATTTCATCGCCTTTCTCGTCTTTTTTAACAGCACTTTTTTCAACTGGACACACCCCGGCTTTAACATTAACTCTTTTATCGTTTCCATTATTCTTGCACATGACTGGTCCATTAATGGAAGTGTTATCCTGCAAAGAAAAATAAATTCAAGACATATCCTGACGCTGAGATAACTTCTGATCACGATTCAGTGGTTGCAACATTTAGGTGAACTCTCAGAAAAGCCAAAAGAGACCCAAAAAAGGAACAAAATATTTCACAATTAAAAAACAAAGAAACTACATTAAATAAAAAAGACTAAACTGACCTTTACGAACAACCAGAGATGAACAGAAAAAATTGGAACATAAGTCAGTGGAATAACTTTAAAAGTAGCATACTAAAAAAAGCAAACAAGAATTAAATCAAATTGGCCAAAAGAATAAAAAATACTGGATTGCCGAAGAAATTCTTCAGTTAATGGAAAAGAGAAGATTAGTTAAAAATCTAGAAAAAATTGTATATAGTAAAACTCATTATTTGTGCAAACTTCCCTAAACCAAACGTCGTATAAGAATCTACAAAAAGCAGGAGCTACTCTCTTCCCAATTTAAATGCCATTATACAGGGTGAGTCATGAGGAACTTTACATACTTCTACCATATGTAGAGTCCCTCAGGGAGCATATCATGTGGCCACTAAAAAATGTCAACTCCTCTTCTTTATTAATTAACAGGGTGATTTGTGTAATTGACCATTTATTTCATTTTACTGTAGTGTTTATACGGTTTATTTGATTTTTTTAATTTTTGCACGATACAGTACACTACTATCAAGCATTCGACTGGTATTAGCTAAACTAAAAAATTCCAGGACTGGCTTTGCAAAAATTAATTTAGGGATTCGTATTAAATATTACACCCTGTATATATATATATATATATATATATATAAATATATATATATATATATATATATATATATATATTTTTTTTTTTTTTTTTAATGCAATAAGTGATTTTCAAACTACATAAATAGCCAATGAAAACGACATATGCGACAATGTTGTCGCACTTTTATTAAAGTTTTAGTGAACGATCAAATCTTACCAAAAATAGAACAACCATAATGAAGTATCAAATTATAAGGCATTAATTTAAACAAATGTTATAAATTTCAAACATTTTAATTAAAATGAGTTCCTACAACATAATCTAATACGTAGAAAATTAACATCTTTACTGTCACTTTGTATTATCTCTACGATAGAATCAATTGTTTTTCAATTTTAAATTTTTACTCATAGATCGTATTGGGGCCTTATTTTCGATAAATAATAAATTAAATTGATTAAAAAGTCAAACCTCTTGTATGTGTTTTTTTGTTGATTGTAAATGATTAAAATTTTATGTCAAATAATAACATTGCATCAACTGTACTAAATAAAAATAAATCTAAAAAAGTTTAAAATGAAGGTTGGCGTTGACCGTTTGACGTTTCTTGATATTTTATACCCATTGTCATTATTGTCATTATCAATTGTTATTTATGTGTACAAGAATACATATTTCTTCTGTCATATCTACGTTAAGTACATTGTGTTAGTTTTGGTAGAGCTTTTGTTACTTTCGTTCAAAATGCCACATCAGTTTTCGACCACAGAATATGCAGACATAATATTTGTTTATGGATTCTGTAATGGGAATGGTAGGGCTGCTAGTAGAGAATATCGCAGGAGATTTCCTAATCGTCGAACTCCCAGTCATCCAACATTTGGGTCAGTTTTTAATTATTTGCGAGAAAATGGCACTTTTCCTAGTGGAACAACAGAGCGACATGTAGATGAAGCACAGGAAGATGACATTATGGACGCCGTTACTATGAACCCTACAATAAGCACTAGACAAGTAAGTCGAGAACTCAATGTTACTCAATCAAAAGTAAGTAGAGTCTTACAAAAAAATAATCTATACCCATATCACATTCAAATGGTTCAGCGACTACATGCTGGAGATGAGATCGATAGGTTGGAATTTGGTGTGGGCAGAAGAAAATCCCCATGCTATTCGAGAACGTCGTTCTCAGTTAAGGTTTTCGGTTAACGTGTGGATTGGTGTCATAAATAACCAATTAGTAGGTCCTCACTTTTTTGATGGTCCTTTAACAAGGCAGGTCTATTTGAACTTTCTACAAAATATTTTGCCGAATTTGCTTGCCAACGCGAACGTTGCTATCCGAGGGATGTATTTTCAGCATGATGGGGCACCCCACACTTTTTACTGGCAGTGAGACAACATCTCAATAATGTTTATGGCAACAGGTGGATAGGACGTGCAGGTCCTATTTCGTGGCCTTCAAGATCCCCTGATTTCAATCCCGTTGATTACCATATTTGGGGACGATTGAAGTAACTAGTTTACGCAGTGAATATTAATAACCGACAACAATTAATTGATAGAATTATACATTGTTGTAATACTATTAGAAACGATCCCCAGAGTATCCGTAATTTAATACGTCAATTAACAATTCGGCAACAAAAATGTGTACAGGCTGCAGGGTTCCATTTCGAAAATCTATTTTGAATTATTTTTATTTTGTTACTATTATTGTATCTTTTCCAGTTCTAATTTATGGGTTTATCA